AGGGTGAAAGGCGGGGGTGTGACGTTTATCGCGTTATTAACGCCGCGATTAAGCCACGCTCTTTCCGTCTGTTCGCCGCCATTGCTCGCAGATATTATACGTAATCTGATTATGCATTATCCGAAATTTCGCTCGAACGAAATGAAAAAAAAAAAGAAAGAAGAAAAAAAAAGAAACGGGTTCGAAGTTCAACTTTGCAATATTATACGTTCGCGTGGAAAATTTAATGGTAATCGTTCGAATTCGCGCGCACGAGCCTATATTTATATCGTGTATCGAGTTTTTCCCCACCCCTGAAACCCTCGAATTCGAGGTTGAATTGTATACGTACGCGAAAGCGTATCCTCTTCATTTCGATGAAATGCTTCGGTGTAATTATATCGAGACACTCTCGAGAGCGTGCCAACGTGGTCGAAAAATCTCGCGAATATCATTTCAGTTTTTCCAGATACCTGTGCAAGTCTCTTATTTCATCGGTATCGAGAATATAACGAGAGAACGTTTGTTTAATTGTTGTAATTATTCGCTGTGAATATTAACAGCGCGTGTTGTAATCGTATCGTGTTGTTCATCGTTGAATAACATTTTCGCGATGCAATGGACCGGTAAATCGAGTGGCACTTTAATACGATAAAGGATGAAAGATATGTAGAGTAAGGTTTCGATGAGTGTTATAAATTTACTGAAATTGAGAGTTTCGTTTCAGATTGTAAATATCGTATGCTGGCTTTCATTATTTCTTCCTGCGATGATAATATTACGAAATGTTGTCGTGTAATCACGAATTCTTCAGTCATTTTCGATCCAGCCAAATAATAAATCTTCTCCATTTGAATTAACATTTTTTCGTTTAAAACAGGGCTTCTCAAAGTGAAGAGCCGCGATCCTATAATGGGGTCGCGGGAATTTTGGCAAAACTGAAAGATTAGTATCAATACTTGGCCTTTAATACGTGATTAAAATTATATTTGGCATGTATTCACAGCAAATATTTTAATTCGTATTCCTAGTTTATATACCCAGGGTTGCAACTTCATACGGTGGTCACTTAACTAAATTTGACGGTCGCAGAAATTTTAGCAAAACCAAAAGATTGGTATGAATTTTTTATTTTACTTTGCTTTTAATACGTGATAAAAATTGCATTCGGCATGTACACCAAAGAATTGATTTTTTATTGTCACGAAGAGAAAAAATCTTTGAATTCGCATTCCTGGTTTATATACCGAGGATTATAATAATATTTGGCCAAAGTGGAGAAGTTTGAGAAGCCCTTTGAGGTTTGAAAAGATACGACCTGTCTTTACAGCTGAAGGATTTCGTTTGTCCACAGGCAATACTAATCGCGTTGGTGCTCGGCAGCATCATTGTCGGCACTGTGATCGGGAACATTCTGGTCTGCGTAGCCGTGTTCCTCGTTAGGAAGCTGCGAAGGCCTTGCAACTATCTGCTGGTTAGCCTCGCAGTTAGCGATCTGTGCGTCGCTCTTCTGGTAATGCCGATGGCGTTGCTCTACGAGATCTCTGGTAATTGGTCCTTCGGTGCAATTATGTGCGACCTTTGGGTTAGCTTCGACGTGCTTAGCTGCACGGCCAGCATCCTGAATCTCTGCATGATCTCCGTGGACCGGTGAGTAGCCTCCATCCGTGACCAGAAATTTTCCTGCGAAAATCAGCTTTTCCGCGATGAATCGAGATTCCTCGTTGAATGAAACTGAAATTATACAATTATCGTGTAATTGGTGGATCGTATTTCGCGCGGACTGTTGTAATTGGTTCGCAATATGCGAAATAATACGCGGATACAGTATTATGAAAGTGTTAATAGTGTCGTTGAGTTACAGGTGTCCGCATCTAGTTTGAGTGTTTAATCGATGCAATTAAATACCTGTTTATTCAACGTATGAATATAATTACAATGTATATGAGTGTTTGATTAATTAAATTTATTTATAATTATAAATGTAACTTCACAAGGAAAAATGTGAAGTGCAATTATACGGTGATTTTGTTCGAACTCTCGAATATAACATAGTATCGTTCGATTGGAGATGATTGTAGAATTTACGTTGAATCGCTAAAATTTTCGATATTCAATGATAAGGTTTAAACGAAGATTCAAAATTTCTGTTATAATCTGAAATTAAAAGTTTCATCCATGGCGTAATTTTGGATGTGAAATTTGTCGAAAAATAATGGAGAATCTGATGAAAACTTGTCAAAGTGCTTTGATTATTTCTACTAAATTATATTAATAATGCTTCATTTATTTTTAACAATAATACTTAATTAATCTTTGTCTATATATATATATAT